CCGTTCATCGGATCTTTTTCTGACTTAGTTCGGATTTGCGGTTTTCTGACTTAGATCGGATTAATCAATTTCCGACTTGACCGGATCTGGCTTTTGTGCTCTTCCATGGAATTTGTTTTACACAAAAGATCCGCGTACTGAGATTCAGAATTCTCTCTTCTTCATTTGGTATCAATCTTTCATGGCGGGGAGTTATCTCTCCTAAATCCCCATCTAGAAGCCTTAAGCTAAGGCAGAGGGTGATGTGGTCATGCTTAGAGATGATTGGTGGTGGTTTTTAAGGTGGTGAGATGTTTTCTGGATTTTATTTGCGTGGATCATTAGTATGGAGGAGTTATGCAAGAGAAATTTGATGGCCTTGAAGTCGGAATCCATGGAGTTCTCGGCTTAACGGTGGCGCACCGTAAAGTTGCGGTGGAGATGTCGTTGTTATCTCGTGTCAGCTACTGTTCTTAGACCTAGATTCCGCGTGTGTACACGTGTTGTTCTTATCTCCATCGTTATCTCTTATGAGTTAGCGATTAGCTTTGTAATCTGGGTTGTAATGGGCTGTAATTTCTCTTTGTATTGGGCTAATGGCCCCTTTAATCAATATAAAAGTTGGCAACAAAAAGAGAAAAAACTGTACATGGAGGATATTTGTTTTTTTAGGAAAAGAGTTAAAACAAAATTTAGGATGTCAAAATTTGTAAGGTTTTCTTTTTGCCGTCTGATATGTAGTTGAACTCTAGGTAGTATGGAAGGTTCGTCGGAGGTCTTACTCCCGGTTCGAAATTGTGGGAGCCAAGACTATCACAATTAGATTTGTAAGGGTTTCGAGAGGTAGCAGAGATTTCTAGGTTAAGCTACGAAGACAACAAGAGCTAAGAAAAGTTTTTGTTATTACTGTCTATGCTTTTGTGAACCAAGTTGCGGATGATCCTTTACAAGGGTTTATACATTGATATATATAGCGTTTCTAAGTCGGCTAAGTTTTTCCATAAAAAACTATGCTAAGTTTCCTAAGTCGTTGCGGATTTCCACTTTGTCTACGTCGGTTGTGCCGAAGTGGGCTTCGCAACTGGACTAGGCTTCAGTGTTGAGACTTCGAGCTCCCACGGTTGTTACATCGTCATTTTACAGCCGCTCTGTTTATCTTCTAGAGATGTCTGGGCCTGTCCTCTCAACTGGTTAAGGACCGAAGCCCAGCGCGGGAAGTCCTCGGGCCCTTCTTGCGGGACGAAGACAGGATCCTTTCTGCGAGGCGAAGACAGGAGTCTTCGGTGACACTCTCCGTTGGAGTCCTCGGCGGCAGTTCYCRMCAGGGTCCTCGGTGGCRCCGATGACMGAGTCATCGSTGGCCTCCCCTGTGCTGATGCTTTCTTCTGCATGAAAGTAGGACTCGGGAGACTTCGCCTCAGAAGACTTTGCCTCGCACGCGGAGAAGACTTAGGAACGGAGAAGACTTATCTCATGGCTTGATGACTTAGGAACTACATGATTTCTAGATGTCAACGTAGTTCAGTGTGCGTTCGTTGTGTCAATCAAACTTTGAACATTAACGTTGAGCGGGTGAAATCCGCCCCCAACAGTTAGCCCTCCCAGCTCGATAGTGTTAGTGATAACAGTATCGAGTTAAAGACTATTGAATGTCGAGATGTTAATGTTCAAAGTTTGGACGTTACTGTTAGCGTGATGCTGTTGGCTCAGCCGCTCATACTGTAGCAGAGGATGGTTTTTATTTTTTTTTTACACTGGAGATTTTTAGACTTCGTACTTTATTGAAGATTTTAAGACTTCTCGCTTCGCTTGCTGAAGTCGACTACGTTGCTGCAGAACAAAGATGAAA